GTTTTAGAATCTTTTAAACGTGATATTCGTCATCAGGAGCTCAAGTTGTACTAGTCCTGTTACTCTCGAACAATCCGGATAAAGTCGGTGTAAAGCCTGGTACGCTCTCGAAAGAATCACCCATAACCAAGTGTAATTTAAATATTTAAAAAATAACTTTGCGTACTTCTCAAGTATTTTCGACTTTTACGTAAACGGAGTGACAGCAAGCGTAGATTCTGGTAGTTCTGCTCAGCCAAAAAACGTATAGGTCAATCGGGATCTAAATTTGACTTATTTAAATAAAATTCATTAGCGAAAAAATGATGATTTTCGTCGAAAGTTTTGACATCACCATTAGAAAGAGCAGGAAAACTATACTATATTCTTTTTGTCTCATGGTTAATTCTTCTTTCCCATCAGCCACCTTTTTTTCAATAAAAGTGACAACTAAAAAGACTATATTTCGATATAGCAAGAATTTCTTCCACTGTAAAAATGTTAAATATATCCTGATCGGGATATGGTTTTTCACTGTCCGGATATTAGACTCATATGCATTTGAAACCATTCAAAAATGAAGAAGCTGGAAATAAAGCAACATGACAATATAAAAACTTATCAGAGAGAGTTAATTATCATTTTAATGGGAGAAATGCATCGTTATTTACTAAGAGTCATATTCGAACACTTGAACCAGTTACTAGGTTAACACCTCAACCGGTTATTCACACTACAAATGAGAGACAAATGCTTTCTGTGATATCATCGTTGCCAGATCCACCATTGTCTGTTTCGTATTCTTTATCCAATTTAGCTATAAAATAAAAATATTTTTAGTAATAGCAGAGCAAACATTTCTGATCAAATGAGACGTTTCCCTGTCTGAGTCTAGTCTGAGTTTAATCAAAAGTTTTAAGAGTTTATCAGAAGCTTGAAAACGTGCATTAGACAATGGCGTCAATGAATCTCAAAAACAACGTTTACCTTTATAGCACTCTGTATTTGCAGGAATTCGCTGACAAATCAAATGTTGGAGATCCCGGGTTAGTCTTAAATCAAAATTAATTCTTATGATTTCAGCTAACAAGAGCCCAATTTTCGAAGTTCGAGTTAGTTTTTGATAAGATAATAAATTTTCGAAAATTCGAGTTAGATTTTTCCAATATTTGACTTGTGCCGTCTACCGACACTCAATAGACTATAAATACAACCTCGTATTGGTTTAAATTGCAGTTTAAACATATATAACTTGCTCATGCATCTTTAAAGAAAGCTACATCGCAACTTCTTTCTCCTTTTATTTTTACCTAGACAATCGAAGTGGAAAAGTCGTTCAAGATGCACTTGATAAAGCAAAATTAGATCGAATGACAATTGTTATTGCTCATCGTCTTAGTACTATAAAAAATACCGATGTTATTATCGGTTTGGAGAAGTGTCAGATGGTTGTATCTGGTACTCACAATGAATTGACGAATAAAACAGGGTTATATTATGAGTTAGTAACAGCACAAATAGAAAAAGAGAAAGAGCAAAACGATGAAAAAGATTTGGAAGAAAAAGAATTAGCTAAACAAACCACTGATAATGATACCTAATTATTCAAATCTAAATCTTTGATTAATTAATTAACTTTAGCAAAAACTGTCAATCATAGGCCTCGAAAAATGTCGATTTTACAACGACGCTTCTCTATTATATCAGCGAAATCGATTGCATCTGAATTAGATGATATGGATGAAAATGGTCAGGGTATACGGACGGATGAAAATGAAATGTTCTTCAGACGTTCTAATATAGTATCCATATTGCCCACTTTGAAGATTAAGTATGAATTGATAGGAAATGTTACTGAGCATAAACATTTAGGCTTATTTTTTACCACTAATCTTGATTAGAGTTACCATATTCAATCAATAGTTAGTGGTTGTTCTCCAGTAGTAGGGGGTATAAAATACTTGAGTCGGTTCCTATCGCGTCAAGCATTGACGCTGGTTTACAACTCATTTGTTCTTAGTCGAATAAACTATGCCTCTGTAATTTATTGTGGAAGTACACAAAAAGTTTTTAAACCACTATATACAATACAATATAATGCAGCATCAGCTGCTACTGGAGCGATGAGAGGTTCTTCGTATGAGAAAGTGTGTATATACTGTAAAAAATAGTCGTAGACTAATAAACTATCAAAAAGGGTTTATTGAGACCAATAAACCTTTTAAAAAACGCCTTTCCGTTTTTTATATCCGAAAAACTAAAAAGTGTTCGTGAGAGATGCAAAATAAAAAATCCTTTTCAGTTTTTTGTTGAGTTTAAAATACCAGCTAAAAATCTCTTCAGTTTTTTAGATAGTTTTTTAGATTCGATAAAAAACTGAAGAGATTTTTAGCTGGTATTTTAAACTCGACAAAAAACTGAAAAGGGTTTTTTATTTTTGATAAAAAACCGCCCGTTTTTTATTTTGCATCTGTCACGAACGCTTTTTAGTTTTTTGGATCTAAAAAAACCGAAAAGCGTTTTTTAAAAGGTTTATTGGTCTCAATAAATCCTTTTGATAGTTTATTAATCTACGACTATTTCTTACAGTGTAGAATTAGGATGGATTCCACTAAGTATTAAGCAGACAAATACAGTTGAACCGTTAGTTAAATATTCCATCTTTGAAATACATCGTCTTTATTTGCTTTTAAAAATATTAAGAGGTAGAACTATCATTGATTTACCATCTTCCTTCATTCAACACACTACATATACGCAAGAGCATAATCTTCGTGGACAAAGTAGAAGTCTTTTGCCTTCTACTAAAGCTGGTCTTCAGGTATATGATAGCTCCTTACCGGCGGCTAAGAAACTTTGGAATGATTTACCAAATGAATATCGAATGATAGAAGGCTTTTTTACTTTTAAAACTAGACTAAAAGCTCCATATCCTTTAAAGTTTAAATTGAAACCTACACAATTTAGAATGTCTGAGATTCACTTTACACGCTTTAGAGTAGAATTCAGTCAACTAAATTATGATCTTTACAAACGTAAATTACAATCATCTCCATTTTGTATATGCGGTTCTGCAGAAGAAACAAACCACTGGACATTACTTTTTAGAGTGTTCTCGATATGAAAATGAACGTCAAAAGTTAAAATCCGTTTTTGAAAGCATTCTTCATATTCAGACTTTAACGGTAGATCACGTTTTATTAAAGGATGATGCAATTACCGAACTAGACTTTGATAATACCAGGGACCTGAGTAGGTGCCGGACATTGAGGGGTGTAACGAAAGTTTTTTGTCCGAGATAGTGTAAACTTTATTTTAAATTTTACGTTCGAGGTGGTGGAAACTCTGTTTTTTGCATAGTTACTCAGTAATTACCTTGTTACTTTTCTTTTAAATTTTTTGGGGGGTACGCACCCCCCCAGTGAGTACTCGAAAATAAGACGGTTTGAGCCCTCAAAAAATGGCACATCGGACCCTCGATATAAGCTTTCGAGGGGTATCGATTCGAGCCCTCGGATTTCAGATAGGTAGCGAGCCCTCGAGAAAAATTTCCAGCCGTCAAACAGAGATGTTCAGTACTAATAGATATGTTTTACAACCACCTATTCGTTACAGAAAAGCCCAAGCCTTGGAATAAACTCGCGTGATTCATAGAAAATTGTCACAATATGTTTGTCTTTCTCTAGATACGTTAGAATGTTATCACCGTTTTATTTCGGTGATGTTCTACGTATATAATCTCAACATGGGTTGAGTGAAAAGTTACAGAAAGGCAGTCTCAAGGACTGCGCGCGTAATAAGAACCAGTCCCAGTTTCCAAAGCTTCGGCTTTTCTGTAACGAATAAGCGGTTGTAAAACATATCTATTAGTATCAAACAAGTCGAGTTTAAAAAATCAAAAAGAGATGTTCAGGACTTTCGAATGCTGGTTCCCCCCTGGGTTCGGAAGTCCCGAACATCTCTGTTTGACGGCTCGAAATTTTTCTCGAGGGCTACCTATCTGAAATCCGAATGCTCGAATCGATACCCCTCGAAAGCTTATAGATATAGATGTCTACTTTCATTTGAGACCATTCGTAGCTTTCTGCACCTTCCAACAAAAAGGCCTTTACACTTTTGTTGAGAGCCCCATTTTGTCCTTTGTCACACAATATAGATCTACCATTGTGTACATCTATCAGGCAAAATACGAAAGATTGCTATTATAAAGAAAAAACCAATTATTGTATTGTTCTAATGACATATCTAGATAGAACGGCATCTGTTCTGTAAATCTGCATGATGATCTCCTGAATGAGACCATTTACTACCAAGAATCCGAATAATTAACTATATCCTTGTAGCATATAACTTTATCCTTCTTTCTTCAAGAGATATTTTGCTATATGAACGAATATTAAAGCTACAGGTCAGCACCTCCCTATATAGTTAATGTGGATACAAAAAGGAAATTCAAACCAAAACGGTTACGTATAATAGCAAGAACTTATCTCTGACCTGTGAATTTTTTTGTTCGTATATTTTCATTCATGTTTACTGTGCACAATTACAACTGACGAGGAAACTACCCGAGGTGCTAAAAACCTTTCCGACCGAGGACATGATGGTTAGATAGGGCATAGTTAGGGGTGATATACTCTAAGTTGGTTCGGGCGCAAGTTACTTTTAAGAGGAGTTATGAATTTTTCAAGTTATGAGCGAAATAGCAGTTTTCAT